ACAGTCACTATCTAAAAACAGTTGAACAGAGATATCAATTGATTGGATTATACAGGGTGTAAACGTTATGATAGTCATTATTTAAATGGGTGATAGAGGGGGTTAATAGGAGCAAAAAGTTTCATATAAAATGGGGGTCAAAACGGTAAAATAAAATTCTTTCATTATTTGATAATGTACTCGTAAAATGCAAACAATTTAAAAAACGGACTTACCACTAACTGTCTCAGTGCTTCACCTGGTGTGTAAAAGTTTATTGAACGTATTAAAAAAATCCACTTATAAATAGGGAACACAATTTTGATATATACATTGTTTTTCTTTTTAAAACCCACATTGCACTTTTTTTGTATTTAAAGAAGGTATTCAAAACATCGTTCTCCACTTTCCACACAAGCTTCATTACGACGAACCCAGTTTCTTCTTACTCTAGGTCCTCGAAGTTGTCCATTTATTATTTCAGCCCATTAAATTTTTTTTCGCGAAGTTGTGCTCCAGTTGTTATTGGACCAGCCCCATAAACCATCCCTTTAAGTTCTCCCCAATACCAGAAATCCATCGGATTGAGGTCAGGAGATCTTGCCGGCCATTTTCGAGGATCAGGAGCATTTCGACCGATCCAGCGATTTGGATAATGTTCATTCAAATACTAAATGACGCCTCTAAAAATATGTGGTGGTGCCCCGTCATGAAGAAACCACAAATTCTGTCTCCGTTGTAATGGCATGTTGTCTAAGGTCTGTACCTGATCGTCAAGAATACCCGCCCACATATTTATTTTAAAACGTTGTTGGAAATGACCTTCACGAATGGTATGAGGATTTTCTTGGGCCCACGTGTGAGTATTTTGGAAATTTAATGTCCCGTCTCGCGTAAAAGTACATTCGTCCGTCGCTAGAATGTTTTTAAATAAATCCGGATTTTCAACGTCTTTGTGCGAAAACCACTGTCAGAATGTTAGTCTGCGAGGATAGTCTTCTGGTAACAAAGCCTGCCTCGTTGTACATGGTAGGGATAAAGCAAATTTTCCCGTAGGATTCTATGGACTATGATAAGCGATAGTCCTACGCGGCGGCCTAATTCCCGACTGCTGATATCTGCATTGATTTCCACGATATTTAAAATTTTGTTTGGTACACTTGCACAAATGTCCTTTTGTCTGGGTGTACCCGTTGGCGATAAATTTGAGCTGCAAGATTTGAATTCTAACGAGCTTCACCATAAACTAACAATATGTCGGCGAACTCTTGATTCGAGAACATTGTAAATCAATACGACGACGTACGCGAACAAAAACAAAACAACATACTAACCACTGTTACCGTTTGCGATCGATTGTCGGTTCGATAAGAGTGATGATGACCGACGCGCTGTTGTCATGTGTGTTTTAAATATACAATGTAATGAAACTTACCTACTGTCTACAAATTTTGGCTTAACTTAGGAAAACTTAATGCCATTTATGTGTTAATTTAAAAACGTTTTAGATTAGATTATAAAAATTAGTAAGATTGTGGTCGATATAATGTACTTAAAGTTGTAAACTATTCATTACATTTAGACAAAAATCTATTGACTTTTGGACCATGGGTCATATGAACTCTTTGTTACTTGTTTTGACCCTCCACCCCTATTGCCCATTTCAATAATGACTACAATAACGTTTACGCCCTGTAGAACATAGAACATCCATTATCCGAGATTTAATTTTTTACAGTCTCTCATTTGCCTATTATCGGTTTTACTCCACAATTGTTGGTGCCAACTCAAGCCGCATGAATTGAGGCGTAAGTAAAATTAAGCTATTGCCTGATGTCGGCTATCACGCTGTGATCGCGTTAATCGCAGTAGACAGCGACTGGCTTGTCTATCAATTTGCTGCGGTCGAGATTTCAATTTCGCTAAAGAGGAATATCCGGAAAGGAAAGGTATTGATCCTGTACAGGGACGGATCCAAACAATTTCTAGCGGGGGAGACACCACCCCCAAAATCTTAAATCGAAAGGGGGGTCGAGTGATACCTTATCTTAAAGGTCTTTCAATTCCCTTTATAATGATATAAAATTAATGTACTTCAGTTCGGTAGTTTTGAAGATTTATTGATTTAAAGCTTAAATAAAACTAAATACATCATCATTAGTGGAGATCAATACATTTGGCAGCAAAGTAATTTAAAAATGAAGAATGAACTGACCCGTTAATGCTCAAAACGTTGCCGCACATTTTGCAATATTTGAGGAGTAATTTGAAGGCACTCATTCACAATTATTTGTAGCAGGTCTTCTAATGATGTTGGCTGAGTAGCATAGATTTTGCTTTTTAAATGAAGAACTGATGTGAAAAGTCGAGGCTGGAAATTCTCATACAAAAACACATTATTCAGTAATCCGTTGTTTCCACAGGGCGTTCAGAAATTTAGGGCAAAATGTACCTTTTAGTTACACCCTGTATAACAACATACATTTTCAATTTATTTGCAAGACCGATAGTCGATAATGGGGACAATGAAATTACCTACAACTTGACGATAAAATTAACGAAACTGACGCGAAGGTTAAAAAGTTATTTAAAATTTAATTTGAACAAAATTTTGTTTGTCCGGTTAATTTTCATCAAATAATGCAAAATTGCATTACTGCGATGAATATTGTCACAGTAATACATAGTGTATATCATATTCATATAACTTAGAGCATCCTTTTGTGTAAAAAGAGAAATAAGAACAGCTTATAAAACAGTATTCTATACAGTATTACGACCCAAAATGCAACTTTGTAGTTATCTAAAACAGCAAGTGGAGGCATCCTCTAAAAAATTGTATTTTCGGCAAAGTTACAGCCAAATGTTTCATTTTATAATAAGAAATGAAATGTTTGCGATATACGCCGCGGTGCACTGGCAATTTAGGCTTCTGCCTGCGCGGCTGTTTCGGTGTACAAAAAAATGACTTATGAAAATCTCTCAACTGAAAACTCAGTCATTTATACTAAGTGACATATAAATCCGAACAGCCAGTTTAAATGGTTTTATTTTAATAAAAGTTGGTGAATGTATTTATCTTACTGTAAATAACAAGTGAAAAAATGTTCAGCCTTATCAGTTGGACATTCCGGTTTTTATACTGCTTTTTTTTAATTCACTAACGCTCTAAAAATGAATATTTCAGCCGCAGTAAAGAATCAACGTTGGCGGATTTTGGTTCTTGACATCCTTTACGATCGGTTACGATGCCTAGAGTACGGAGACCTGTACGATTTCGTCAACTTAGTGAGTTTGATAGGGGCCGTATAGTGGGACTTCGGGAAGCTGGACTTTCTTTTCGGGCAATTGCAGTTAGAGTGCAAAGAAGGGTAGACACTGTGGTTAGGTGTTGTCAGGCATGGCTTCGAGAAGGCCGTACGCAAAGAGCAACGGGCACTGGACGCCGCCGTAGAACAACAGACCGTGAAGATCGCCGCCTAAGATTATTGGCCTTAAGGGACCGTTTCTCCACTTCCAGGTCCATTGCAAATGAATGGTTTGCAGAACACGGAAGACCTATTGGCATGCGAAGTGTTTACCGACGAATGAGAAGTTTTGGCTTGTTTTCATACCGGCCACACTGGGTCCTCCCTTTAACTCGAGAACACCGACGTAATCGCCTTGAGTGGTGCAGACAACGGTCACTCTGGGATCAGGAATGGAACAGTATTGTCTTTGGTGACGAGTCTCGATTTTGTTTAGGCATGCACGATGGTCGTGCCAGGGTTAGAAGGCGACGTGGTGAAAGGAGGAATCCACAGTTTTTTGTTGAAAGACATGTTCATCACACTGTTGGAGTTATGGTTTGGGGTGCTATAGCTTATGGTTCCAGGTTATGGTCACCTTTAATCTTCATCAGAGGTAACATGAACGCGCAGCGCTATATCCACGTAGTTCTAGAACCCCATCTTTTACCCTATCTTGACACCCTGGCAGATCCAACTTTCCAACAAGATAATGCCCGACCACATGTTGCAAGAGTCACAATAGACTTCTTTCAACATAATGATGTCACATTGTTACCATGGCCACCAAGATCTCCCAACTTATCCCCAATTGAGCACGCGTGGGATATGATGGGTAGGAGATTGCTCAATTTGCAACGTCCTCCTCAGACTCTAGAAGCACTTCGAGAGTAGTTGGTGGTTGCCTGGAATGAGATACCACAGGAGGACATTGACCACCTGATCAGAAGCATGCCTAGGCGCGTTGGAGAATGCGTAGCACATCAGGGTGCATCCACACATTATTAAAGGTCAAAGGGCTTTAAAGCAGTGCAATCATTTTGAAATTTATATCATTTACTTATTATGCTTCATTAAGTACTTATACAAAATTTTATTAAAATTAAACTGGGTGTTCGGATTTATATGTCACTTAGTATATAACCTTAGGCGGCGTTTGAGTAACACGTCTTTCGTGAATTTTGATGCAACATATTTATACCATCATCATAGTGGAATGAACCTATATTCGGAACTTTGCTCAAAATCCATATATTTTTTTTTATCCAGAAAAAATTGGGTTTGTTGCTGTACCTGAGCAAGTTTTGCAATAAAACGTGACACGTAACATATATGAAATGTCGAACGGTATACACAAACTGCTGGTAATAGATAAGCTACGCAAACAAGTACTGATAAGCACGTTCAGCTTTCATGACAGGTCGATATCGTTTCTCTCCGATCTATTAAATAATCACCTGTTATAATCGTATCTTCCCGATCTTTATTTGATTCATATTATTATACAGTTTTTTTGACGGAATGGAATTATTGTGAAAACGGCGATATGGCAACCAAACATGATACAAATAGCAAACTTTAAGACAGTAAATATATACTAAAAGACATATAAATCCGAACACCCAGTTTAAATGGTTTTATTTTAATAAAATTTTGTACAAGTACTTAATGAAGCATAATGAGTAAATGATAGAAATTTCAAAATGATTGCACTGCTTTAAAGCCCTTTGACCTTTAATAATGTGTGGATGCACCCTGATGTGCTACGCATTCTCCAACGCGCCTAGGCATGCTTCTGATCAGGTGGTCAATGTCCTCCTGTGGTAGCTCATTCCAGGCAACCACCAACTCCTCTCGAAGTGCTTCTAGAGTCTGAGGATGGCGTTGCAAATTGAGCAATCTCCTACCCATCATATCCAACACGTGCTCAATTGGGGAGATCTTGGTGGCCATGGTAACAATGTGACATCATTATGTTGAAAGAAGTCTATTGTGACTCTTGCAACATGTGGTCGGGCATTATCTTATTGGAAAGTTGGATCTGTCAGGGTGTCAAGATAGGGTAAAAGATGGGGTTCTAGAACTTCGTGGATATAACGCTGCGCGTTCATGTTACCTCTGATGAAGATTAAAGGTGACCTGGAATCATAAGCTATAGCACCCCAAACCATAACTCCAACAGTGTGATGAACATGTCTTTCAACAAAAAACTGTGGATTCCTACTTTCGCCACGTCGCCTTCTAACCCTGGCACGACCATCGTGCATGCCTAAACAAAATCGAGACTCGTCACTAAAGACAATACTGTTCCATTCCTGATCCCAGAGTGACCGTTGTCTGCACCACTCAAGGCGATTACGTCGGTGTTCTCGAGTTAAAGGGACGACCCAGTGTGGCCGGTATGAAAACAAGCCAAAACTTCTCATTCGTCGGTAAACACTTCGCATGCCAATAGGTATTCCGTGTTCTGCAAACCATTCATTTGCAATGGACCTGGTAGTGGAGAAACGGTCCCTTAAGGCCAATAATCTTAGGCGGCGATCTTCACGGTCTGTTGTTCTACGGCGGCGTCCAGTGCCCCTTGCTCTTTGCATACGGCCTTCTCGAAGCCTTGCCTGACAACACCTAACCACAGTGTCTACACTTCTTTGCACTCTAACTGCAATTGCCCGAAAAGAAAGTCCAGCTTCCCGAAGTCCCACTATACGGCCCCTATCAAACTCACTAAGTTGACGAAATCGTACAGGTCTCCGTACTCTAGGCATCGTAACCGATCGTAAAAGATGTCAAGAACCAAAATCCGCCAACGTTGGTTCTTTACTGCGGCTGAAATATTCATTTTTAAAGCGTTAGTGAATTAAAAAAAAGCAGTATAAAAACCGGAATGTCCAACTGATAAGGCTGAAAATTTTTTCACTTGTTATTTACAGTAAGATAAATACATTCACCAACTTTTATTAAAATAAAACCATTTAAACTGGGTGTTCGGATTTATATGTCACTTAGTATAGTTGAACAGACGAGAAATAAAAATAGTGGTTTATCGTTGGCCTTTGATTAGTTTGAGCACAACAAATAGGTAATAAGAAAATATTTGCAGCAAGTGCACGTCGCCCAACATTCTTCTCCGAAGAAAATCCAAATACGACTAGGACTAACACATGAGCTTAAAGAAACTGTAAATCCGATTTTGGAACTGCCTAAGGTCAGTAGAGTCAGTAGAGCATCCTCATACAGATTGTTCCTCAATCTCGTTACCTTGGGGACAAAGGAGCGGTCGTATCGGCCTGTTCTGGATGTTCCAGAAGCTTTGTTCTTGTCGAGCGACAAGAGCACCCATCCTACGGTCTTATGCCTGAAGGTTACTTGATGCACAGGATAAGGAACCCTTTGAATCCAAGGAACTTAAGCGTTGGGAAGTGCTAAAGTTGGCGACAAAGATCTTGGCAAGCATTTCCGCCTAAGCATTTGAGTGGGTTACAATCGTTTAATCCTGACAGGTAACCTTTGAGAAGTTCCCTTCAATCTCAAATTTCGTATACACTGAGTGTTGTAGGTAGACATGATAATACGAGTAGGTACGAGGGATGTCTTTTAAGTTTTGCATATGGAAATAAAACATCACGGTAGGTAGTTTTAAATGACTTTATTGTTTTTCGAAGTATTCTCCACGAAGATTAATACACATCTGCATGCGCTTCGAAGCACTTATTCCACTCGTTTGCTGGCAGATCCAAAACGGCATTTTTGAATGCGTCAACTGCTTCTTCTGGTGACTGGAACCTTTGACCACGCAGTCTGTTTTTAATTTTCGGGAAAGTAAAGAAATCGTTAGGACTTAGATCGGGACTATATGGAGGATGGTCCAATAATTCCACGTTTTCTTCCGTTAAATACTGCCTTGTTTTTTGGGCTGTGTGCGAGCTTGCATTGTATTGGTGGAGGATGATTCTTCTTTCGGGGTTGATTTTTCGAAGCTCGGTGATGACTTTCGGCAAACAAATGGTGGTATACCAATCCGCAGTAACAGTTCTTTGCTCATTAAGAGGAATTGTTGCAATATGACACGCTTTTGACAGAAATGTCGCGACCACCTTTTTCCAAACACTTCGAGAACGGATGACTTTTGTTGGCTTTTTTTCACCCAAACAGCCGACTGTCGTTTATTTTCTGGTTCATAACAGTAAATCCACGATTCATCACCACTAACAATGCTGTACACATTTTTTGAGTTTCCAACAAGCTTTTTTTGACACCAATTAACCCTGGCTGCTTTCTGCTCTTCAGTCGACAGGTGGGGTATCCAACTAGAAACTAATTTTCTTACTCCTAATTCTTCATGTAAAATTGTTTGAATTGAGGTCTTTGAGTTCTTCAAGGACGCCTCAATCTCGCGATATGACACACGTCTATCTTCAATGATGAGTTTGCGCACAGCATCGACGTTTTCCTGGGTGACTGCCGTTTTTGGTGCACCCACCCTGGGATCGTCACTAAGACTCACCTGTCAACGTTTGAATTCTCCATACCAATGGGAAATTGTCGATTGATGTGGCGCTTCGTTGCCGAAAACATACAGTAACTCAGCAAGGCATTCTTGTTGCGATAATTGTCTCTGAAAGTTGTAATAAATTATGGCGCGTAAATGTTCTCGGTTGAGTTCCATTTTTCTAATGACTTCACTGTAGTGAGAACACCGCACGTATCGTTGTGAAACTTTTAATTCAAGTTTACTAAAGAGTGAGGTTAAGATTCAGTACTGACGTTCGATCCGCGCGGCCTACTAAGTTTCTATATGCAAAACTTAAAAGACATCCCTCGTATAATTAATAAAATCAGTTTCTCACATAATAGCGACAGATTAGTATCGAGAGGGCAATAAAACTCAATATCAGAGTAATTATGTGAAGTATGTGTTACTTCATGACACGAGGACCATTACAATTTGACTTGTAATATCAATTCGGATGCATCAAACACTTCAAAATGATAGATAGATAGATAGTAGCTTTATTGTCCAACAGTGGCCCATTAACAGGACAATATTATACAAAATCCATACAAAAGATACAGAACAAACTACATAATAAAACAAACACATCTCATGTATATCCTTGACCTACGTATGTATAAACTATCCTAACTAATTCTTTGTTAGAAGTACAAGATTATATCCAACGAACAACTTATATCAAGAAACAGGGATACTTGATACAAGACAACTTTATTTCTTACATGCCACCACCTTATACCATAAGTATTGTAATAAAAAGAAAAAATCCTATAAACACGAGCATAACACACGATTTCGAATAGGCTCATCTAATATCCAAAGACCACACAAAACATTATTCAAAAAATCATTTAAATTCTTAGCAGCTAAATTGTATAATGTAGTACCAAACGAAATAAAAATACATAATTTTGGAAAAAAAATTAGAAGAAAATTGAAAGACTGGGTTAGTACTGTGCAGCGAATGACTATACATAATTATATAGAAAACTAAAACTACAAAATTCCAATTACATTAATACTTTTTAGATTTAACAATAATTGTTATACACATATATGATTGATTGTTAGTTATTAAGATATAAACCACTCACATGCGATGCCTTCTGTTTTTTTTCATATTTATTTGCCCATTTTTTGTATTTTGGCGAATAAATATTATTATTATTATTATTATTATTATTATACTCCAGTTTAGACCTCACAAAAGCAAAATACAGTAGGTTAATGGTTCTTATGTTATGGAAATGTCTACAGTTTCTAACAACAGATCCATATGTAACATGAACCTCATGATAATTTGTGGGATTAGAATTGGACCAATATCGGCAGTTATGACGATTTACTACGCCGTTTAAGAAAAAGAAACATTCATCGGAAAAGCAAGTATTGAATAGAAAATGTTCATCGTTTATAATTCGTTCACTCATATCTTCACAAAATTGTAATCGCCGATCAAAATCGTCTTCATTAAGTTCTTGTACCAGGTGAATTTTATACGGATGAAAGCTATGGGCCTTTAGAATCCGTTGGACAGTACGTCGAGTAACACCACACACAGTCTCCAATTTGCGGGTACTTAACGTAGGATCTACATAAACTTGCCCTAAAACCCCCACTTCTATTGCTTCGTTCCTTATCGGATTTTCAATGTTGCGTTTTTTATTGTCGACTGACCCAGTTTCCCGATATTTAGCTACAAGTTCTAGAACATATTTTCGATGCACGTTACTGTTCTAGCACACTGATTATTTCCGGAAAATATTTCGATAATTTCAACTCTTTCTGCTGTGGAATATACCATGGTTAATTTATGTAATAAAGCGTTACAAGTTATTTTAGCAACAAAGTTTGGTCAAATCAATTGCAAACTATGTGTATATTCCTATTTAAAATAAATACGAGATATTTCCTTATCTTTCTTCAAGAAATAACTTTTTCGCCACAAAAAACTCTCCAATAGTTATTTTCAACAACAAAATGATAAACAAACCATGGGTGTGAGTAAAGAAAAGCATTTACTTATTAAGTAAATCAAATTTCTTCTGAAAGTAGTACAAACTAATCTGATGTACCAATTAAAGTCTACTTTAAGCTTTAAATCAATAAATCTTCAAAACTACTGAACTGAAGCTCATGTATTTTACATCATTATAAAGGGATTTGAAAGATCTTTAAAATAAGGTATCACTCCTTTCCATTTAAGATTTTAGGGTTCGTGTCACCCCCGCCCAGGGGGCTGCATATGTTAACGTGATTTTTTGCCAAACTTGTGCCCCCCTCGAAAACAAAATCGACGGGTCTGACAGTTTTTCCAAAAAAAAAACTGAGCTGCCAGTAAATGCGTCTGTCTCGTTTTCGATGCGCCACCCTGTATAAAAAACAACTACAAAAAATGACACCAAGAGATCAATAGAAGGGAACTGTAAGTCAAAATTACTCGTCTCATCGACCTTAGTATCAATGAAGCCTTTGGCAGCAAGGAGAACACCACCTCCAGTTTCTTTCCTGAGAATTCCAAACTTTCAATCTTTCCTATGAACTGTGTAAATATTGAGCTCAAAACACTAACACTCAACCAGGTTTCACTCAACGCGATTTGGTCAAACTCACTTACTGTTAAGACCTCGTACATTCTGATAGTAAAATGATATGTTACGCTGGCAGGAATTACAGGTACTGTTGGAGGTACTTAGTTTAAAGACTTAACAATTTTGTGAATATATTCTGAACTTTTGGGAACCCTCAGCATTCATTTCTTCATGCAGTCTTCTGTACTGTTCAATGATCAGCGGGCTTATGTTCTAAATGCAGATAACGAGTTGTCCAATAGGGACGCAGGAAAGTAAACGTCAATTTGACATAGACGCCATCTTTGTTTTCTGTCACCGACACATCATTTTGTTAGTTGAATGTTTACCATTGATCGCTATGGAGTCGTATTCGATTGAAGACCGCATTAAAGTTATTCAAGAGCACTACAAAAATGGTGCAAAAATAAAAAAAACGTTTCGCGCGGTTCGTGAACATTTCGGTCGCAACAACCGCCCAAACGAAACAACCATCGGTCGTCTGGTGCGTAAATTCGAGGCAACAGGTTCTGTGACAAATCTGCCAGGCTCTGGCCGGCCAAGGAGCGTTCGCACACCGGAAAATATTGCTGTTGTGAAGGAGAGTGTGAGAGACGATCCGAAACAATCAACAACGCGTCGATCCCAAGAATTGGGCATTTCGAGAACCAGTTTGCTCCGCATTCTCCACAAGGATTTGAATGTACACGCCTACAAGATCCAATTGACGCAAGAGCTGCGTCGGGCCGACCATTTTTCGCGCCGAACGTTCTCAGATTGGCTCCTTGAACACCGCCAAATTGATGCCAATTTTTCATCAAAAATCATGTTCAGCGACGAAGCGCATTTCACTTTGAATGGGACGGTAAACAAGCAAAACTGCCGCATCTTGGCGAACGAAAATCCCCGTGAGTATCAAGAGCAGCCGATGCATCCTCAAAAAGTGACTGTGTGGTGTGCATTGTGGTCAAAAGGCATCATCGGACCTTACTGTTTCGAAAATGCAGCCGGGGACGCCGTTACCGTCAATTCTGAGCGATATCACGTGATGATAGAGGACTATTTTTTGCCGCAACTTGATGGAATGGATATGGACGATGTTTATTTCCAACAAGACGGTGCAACATGCCACACAACCAACGTCAATATCCATCGATTGCAACCTTCGGTGATCGCATGATTTCGCGCAGAGGAAATGTGCCATGGCCACCAAGATCGTGCGATTTGACTCCCTTGGACTTCTTTTTATGGGGATATTTGAAAAGCAAAGTCTACGTCAATAAACCATCCACCCTCCAAGAACTCAAAAACAACATCATTGCCGAGATAAATGCCATTGAACCGTCCATGTTGCAAAATGTCATTGAAAATTTCGACCATCGCGTGGACGTCTGTAAATCCAATCGTGGTGAACATTTGAGCGATATTATTTTTCATACATAAATGGTATAAGTGAACCTTCAAAATAAAGTACCCAACTTGATTTGAATATCAATCTATCTTGTTTTAATATGCGTTTACTTTCCTGCGTCCGTCTTGGACAACCCCATATTAGAACATTAGAGAGCTTTTAGTGCTCTTGTTTTGCTATTTGCTACAATATTTGGTACTCGGGTATCGAAATTATGCCCAGTTCATATAGATGCAATAATTTCTTTTCAATTGATACAAGCTATTCACGATTGCAACGAAACTAATAAAGACGCAAGCCCAATACAATTCACAAACCATAACCCGCATCGGTTCCAAACTGTTGGAAAAGTGATGCTAGATGCACTATTTTACAATTTTGAACAACTGTGGCCGAATTTGAGGTCTATAACATGAATAGTAGCGGCCCTAAGACAGAAACTTGCGGCAGGCCACACTTCAGCGATGTGGCGTAAATGTGGAAATGAAAAAAAACTGTTGGAAAAGTGATGCTAGAATTTTGAACAACTGTGGTCAAATTTGAGTTCTATAACATGAATAGTAGCGGCCCTAACACAGAAACTTGCGACAGGCCACACTTCAGCGATGTGGCGTAAATGTGGAAAGGGGCAACGTTGCCAGATGGGCATTAACTATAGGTAGGGGAGGAAAAGAATGTATGGACTAATTGTTCGAGCTTTATCAGTTTAAGTTCTCTGTCGTACATGTTCGTAACTGACTTTTTTCTCAGTCGGCTTAAATTGCTCTGATCTCAATCGTTGATGAGTTGGGAAAAGTGAACCTACTTGATTCCATTATTTAAATAACCTCAAAAATCATTAACTGAGTTTTACGACAATTCATATTTTAACAAACCTTGGGGTGTTAGTATCGAAAACGAAACAGACGCATTTACTGGCAGCTCAGTTTTTTTTTTTGAAAAACGCTCAGACCCGTCGATTTTGTTTTAGAGGGAGACACAAGTTTGGCAAAAAATCACGTTAACACGTGCAGCCCCCTGAGCGGGGGTGACACCACCCCCAAAATCTTAAATGGAAAGGGGGGTCGAGTGATACCTTATTTTAAAGGTCTTTCAATTCCCTTTATAATGATACAAAATTAATGTACTTCAGTTCGGTAGTTTTGAAGATTTATCGATTTAAAGCTTAAATAAAACTAATACATCATCATTAGTGGAGATCAATACATTTGGCAGCAAAGTAATTTAAAAATGAAGAATGAACTGACCCGTTAGGCAACTAAATGTTGAAAATGGCCACCATGACTCTCCATGCAATAATAAAGATTTTGGTCAAAACGTTGTCGCACATTTTGCAATATTTGAGGAGTAATTTGAAGGCACTCATTCGCAATTCTTCCTCGCAGGTCTTCTAATGATGTTGGCTCAGTAGCATAGAATTTGCTTTTTAAATCACCCCACATAAAGAAATGCGAAGGTCATAAATCTGGCGATCTTGGGGTCTATTCAATGGAACCTCTTCTAACAATCCATAGATCTGGAAACGTCGAATACGTAATGCGTGATGTGGTGGGGCACCATCCTGTTGGAACATCAACCTATTCGCAATGTACCGCCGATCATTCTGATTTTCAATTATAACCGTTAATGCAGGATCTATGACGTCTTCCAGTGATTAGAAATACATTTCACCGGTCAAATTTCCAGGTAAGAAAAAAGGACCAACTAAATGATCGCCAAAAATAACAACCCAAACATTTAATTTTTGTGGCTGCTATGTATGAACCTCATGATAAATTCTGGGATTAGAATCGAACCAATATCGGCAGTTATGACGATTTACTATGCCATTTAAGAAAAAGGAACATTCGTCGGAAAAGCAAGTGTTGAATAGAACATGTTCATCGTTTATAATCCGTTTACTCATATCTTCACAAAATTGTAATAGCCGATCAAAATCGTCTTCATTAAGTTCTTGTACCAGGTGAATTTTATACGGATGAAAACTATGGGCCTTTAGAATCCGTTGGACAGTACGTCGACTAACACCACAGACAGTCTCCAGTTTGCGGGTACTTAACGTAGGATCTAAATAAACTTGCCCTAAAACCCGCACGTCTATTGCTTCGTTCCTTATGGGATTTTCAATGTTTCGTTTTTTATTGGCGACTAACCCAGTTTCCCGAAATTTAGCTACAAGTTCTAGAACATATTTTCGATGCACGTTACTGTTCTCATGTAGCTCATTAAATATTTCTGCTGTTCTATTAGCGCACTGATTATTTCCGCAAAATTTTTCGATAATTTCAACTCTTTCTGCTGTGGAATATACCATGGTTAATTTATGTAATAAAGCGTTACAAGTTATTATAGCAACAAAGTTTGGTCAAATCAATCGCAAAATATGTACTGAATTCCTATCTTCAAGAAATTACCTTTTTGCCACAAAAAAACGCTCCGATACCTATTTTCAACAACAAAATGATAAACAAACCATGGGCATAGTGAAGAAAAGCATTTACTTATTAAGTAAATTCTTTTAGTCAAATTTCTTCTGAAAGTAATACAAACTAATCTGATGTACCTATTAAAGTCTACTTTAAGCTTTACACCAAAAAATCTTCAAAACTACTGAACTGAAGCTCATGTATTTTACATCATTATAAAGGGAATTGAAAGACCTTTAAAATAAGGTATCACTCGACCCCCTTTTCCAATTGAGATTTTAGGGTTGGTGTCACCCCCGCCCAGGGGGCTGCACGTGTTAACGTGATTTTTTGCCAAACTTGTGTCCCCCTCGAAAACAAAATCGACGGGTCTGAGCGTTTTTCCAAAAAAAAAAAC